ATAATGCTACTATAAATTTTTAACTTTGAGCGACGAAAAATAATGCAGAAGCTACATTAACAGATTTTTATTATTGTAAATAGTTTTCTCATGTCAGTGTTTGATATACGCTAAATTTTCGTGAAGGTGTGGGTGGGTGCGTGATTGTGGATGTGGGTGTGGGTGAAGAGAAGATCCACAGCACAGCCACACCCACACCCTATTGAACACCATGTCCATTGAAATACTCACAAAAAGTGAATGGAAGGCAGTTTCAAAATTTCGTTTGATGAAAAGTTGCGCACAGAGACTATCTTTAATTTGAAACCAGTCTGTGCTATGTATCCCTAGCAAGGGAGTTATTTGGATTCTTCTGGAAGGTAGAAAACCAAACCAGAAGTTCAATATAGTCAGGCACATCACACTCAAATTTTTATTACAAGCGTTTCTCACCGAGGTCAATCATTCCTCAAAATTTCAGCTCGAACGATCCATTCTAAGTGAGAAGCCAATTCCAAGAGTTGAGGTGTCCCTTAAATCGTTCTGCATACTTCCAGTTTTCCTCTTTCCAATTTTCTTTTCATTCTTTTAAATCATACTTGTTTCTCCATTTAATATCTTCAACTTCTATGCATGCGTCTTTTTCCATGCAAAAAGATCATATATACCTGTGATATATATGTGTCTTCTAGAAAGAACTGGTTTGGAATAAACCCCCCTATAATAAAAGACCCCCCCCCCTTTCCATATTAGAAGACCCATTTGGGAAAAAAATTTGTCTCACGTAATAGAAGACATCCCATTTAATTAATAACTTTACTGAGAGCTCAGGACTTTAATTAGTGGTTTTACACCTAAATATGTCTAGTTTGAGGAAGGGATGAGCTGAAAATTTCAAACCGATGAGTTCAGTTTATATTCAGCTTTGAAAATTGTGAAAATTTATTCTCAGACCTCCGAAATCGCTTCCATTTCGTAAGAAATCTCTTTTAATTGAGAAACTTATCAGTGCAGCCTCTGTGGAACTAAAATGTGGAACCCACGAGACTCAGATTGCTATAAATTAATAGGATATTGTCAAAAAAGTTGAAAAACTTCATTTTCAAAAACTGTCAAATAAATCAATAGATTAAAATTAGTTTTATCATTTGAGTTATAATATACGCTGTAAAATTTTATTACAACGAAACTTATGTATTTCAAACTATTTTCTCCGCCCCCGTCCCATTTATCAATATCTTTATAATATTCATACACAAGACGTAAAATGTCGAAGTTCTAAATAAACATTACCAATAATGATTATTTTGTAACAATTTGTATTTGTACATTCCAAACAGATTTTTTTTCTAATGCACGCTGTTTTTTCTTGTTGCTATTCGCAATGTATTATTCCTTTTTTTATCGGGATTTCATTATTTCATAGTACTTGATTCAAATTTTAATTTGATGAAAAAATAAGCTTACTATAGTTAGAAAAATGACAAGTCGAAAATCTCACAAATTGAAATGCAAAGGCTAATTTTACTCAGAAAATCACCTGAAAATCGATAAAAAAATAATTATTAAAAGTTATCAAAAAATTCATTAGTATTTTGATTATTTGTATAGGAAACAGTGATCAGGTGGGACTGGAAATTTCAGAGAATACTAAACTCACTACCCTCTACAACATAGAAAAAAATCAGCGGATTCTGAGATTTCTTATTATCGTCAGTGTCTGAGTCTCTCAGAAACTCACTCCTAAGATCTTGGATACAGATTCTTAAGATTTTGAGTATAAATTCATAAGATGTTGCATACAAATTTACAAGATCTTGGGTACACATTTATAAGATCTTAAGTACAGATATTTAATATCTATAATCCTATATCTGGTATTTTGTGGTCGTTTTCACTGATCTTTGTTCCAGCCAATTACATCTCTCATACCAATAATCAAGATTCATAAGATCTTCAATGAAAATCCTGCTGTTCGATTTATATTTAATAATGAGAAATATCTATCTGACCATTTAATGTAAGTTAATTTTCCACTAAAAATAGTACAAAAAACAAGAACCAAAAAAAATGTTGAGAAATTTTTATGGTTCAAAAATATGCCTTTTTATGAAAATTCAAATACAGAAAAACTACAGACTAAACAAAAATGTTATCCTCTGTTTTTATTGATATTTGCGTCTAATTTTGTTCATACTATTTTTTTTTGCTCGTGTCTAATTGCTGTTGCCGAGTTATCAATAATTCGTCTTTATTTTTATTAAAAGCCATTGGATGATAATGATGACATAAAATCGATAATCATGTGTGTAAAAAAAAATTTTATCTGATAGTTTAAACAATTATTCATAACAATCTAGAAATAAAAATAAATTTAATATTTTTAATTTCTGTGATGTCCTAGAAAAGTCAACATGGGAAGATAAAAATCAGATAATCTATCCAAATTAAAGATTTATTTGATACTAAAATCTAAAGTCTTTTATTATATCATTTTTCAAAAAAAAAATTTAGTTTAAAAGCTTTGATTTCTAAATCATTTTGTATCGTAATCTGACATCAACCATCTTCTTATAAAACACCAATCTTTCATGCATACACACACTAGATTAGTCTAAAAAAGCATTGTTCATCCTTTAAAAAATTTCTTTTGAATCATTTTCTTCGTTCTTGATTCTTGATAACTTTGATTTTATTGGTTGGTAAGTAACCCCATTGCTACCAAATTTCTTGGACATTTATGAGATTCAAACGTTTATATGATTGAGTTTTGGAAAGAAATTTCAAATAATAGAAGAATTTCTAAATATGTAAATAAACTAATGATGTCGCTTTTTGTTTTATTCAAGATCTTGGAACAAGCCGAAAAAAAACTGATATCTTTTCCATAATCTTGACATGTGAAAATCTTTGAACAGATCTTGCCAAGATCTTAGGTACAGATGTATATGATACGATCAAGACATACACAAATGAATTATCTTTTAAAGATCTTGATAAGATCTGGCTTACAAGATGTTCGACTAGGGCATGGATATCGGAATTAGTACATCGAGTTGAAATAGGATATAAATATTACGATAAAGAATCCAATAGATTGCATCATTTTTAATGATGTATCGATTGTGTTTGGTCGTTCGGCTTCTTGCATTTTTAGGATCGTAAATTTCCAAGTGTCGACTTTAGATTTGTGAATACTTGTATCACCGGTTTGTAGATCATCTTTATAATGCTTGAATAACGTTGAAACATCGAAAAATTGCGTATAGACAATATATGAATGGGTTAACTTCGAAATAGTCATAGGAATTTTTTGATGTTCAGTGAATCTTCTTCTAAGTTCTTCAGTTGCCATGTTGATAAATATTTTCTATATTTAGAAAATCGAGAGTTTATATTAACAAAAATTTTTACAAATATGTTTCAATTTCTTTCTGTTTTTTACTTATTATTTCTGATGAATGTTTGCTAAAAAATTTTACCTTGATACTATTATATGTGGGCCACAATATAGAAGAAAATAACTGATAAAATGCATGATGCATATATTTGACGTTAATTATAGCAAATAAACAGTCGGTACACATACAGCTTATATTAGTTGATTAACACAAATGTTGTTTCATGCACACAATTATTGAGAAAATACTTTTGAAGTTCAATGAACAACAACTTTGCAAATTTTTAGTAAAAATATTTTTGAGAGGGAAAGATCGATCCTCCAATTCCTCTCTAAATGTGTCCCTACAAACTACTAGATCAGAAAAGATAATCATATTTACGAAGGAATTGATAGAGGATGTGGGAAAGAAAATGAGGTCTGTAGAAGACGACAGATATATTATAACATAATTACTTCCGAATCTGATTGTCGTTAGTCAAACAAAGTTATCATTTATGTTGATTGATGAGTATTTAATTTTTTTAGAATAGGATTTGTTCTATTTCTTCATCTATTAGTAAAGATAAGAATGATTACTATAGTGGAAAGAGATCCTGTTCCACTTCCATATCTATCTCGAAGATTGAATAGATTAAGGAGAGTGTTGGTATGAGAGAAACGTATACTGACAAAAATATCATACTCACGTCCATAAGAATTTTATGCAATCAATTCAAGCGACATACAGTAGTTTGAAAAAAAACTTGGTTTTATCATTTCAATGCCATTCGCCAAAGATTCATTCATTTCTTCTGATTCTAGTATCATTCAATCACTCAGAAAGAACACTACCTATTGGTACATTTTGAGTTTTTTTTCACTTATCTTTGAAAGAAAAAGTAAGGTTTATATGTGCTACAATTGGAAGTTACAAAAAATATTACTTTTTCAGGAATTATGTATCAGCTTTTCGCTATCACTTTTAAACAAGAATCATTCAAAACTAGTTCAAGCGTTTATGCTCAATATGAATATCACTTGAAACAATTTTTCTCATTTTCTGATGAAATTACAGTGTAGTCTATTTTCTATTGAATTCAATATTTTCTGAAAATTTTCATCTATTTCTACCTGTCTTAAATGATTTCGTTAATTTCGAGTTTTCAATATTGTATGTGTCATAACACTACCTTGTAGTTTCTACAATCGCTAATAAAACTCTATCCAATAGGCTCATTAAAAAATAATGTAATATTTTTCGTAATTGCCAATCGTAGCACTTAATATTCTTAATTTTTCTTTTGCACATACGTGAAAAAAATTTCAAAATATACTAATCGTTTGTGTTCTTTCTGAACGATCGAACAATACTAGAATCAGAAGGAATGAATGAATTCGGGACGAATAGTATTGAAAATGATGAGACTAAATTTTTTTTATAACCCACTGTACAATGGATTGGTTGGAAAATCAACTTTTGATTAAATAATAATTTCAGTCTCCATAGGTTAAGTTTTTATTTATTTCAAAAAAGAAAAATATGAATGTCTGATTATTAAAAAACAAGGATGAAAACAAAGTTCTCCACAATAAAACGGTTGTTATTTCTAATGTAAAATATCTCACTCAAAACCAATTGTTAACACAATGATGGAATTGGATTAATAAAAGAAACTGGACCGATCGTAACTGTTTTTCCTGGAGGTACTGGAGTAGTTTCAGGTGTTTTATATGATAATTCTGTTTCTGAATGTGATTCGGAATTTGCATCTTCAGCATCATAATTTTGAACAAATGTTCTTGGCAATGCTATTGCACTCCTAGCACGTGTTCGTAAATGAACAATTTCAAAGACACGATCCCGATAAATAGATGCTTTTTTTGATAAATGAAGTAGTATAATATCACAAAGAAATGTTGCTAAACCAAATATTCCAACTAATGAACCAATATTTAAAGTTAATGTAATAAAATCAAATTTTCCAGCTTTACCACTAATAGTTATTATTAAACGAAGACCAAAAGCTTTAGTTAATGTACGAAAATCTTTCTGATTCTGTTTCCAATAAGTAGCATAACGAAAATTAAAACCAATTGAAAATGGATTCTCATTAAAAGGTACATCAAGACGAGCAAATGAATATTTAGGTTTACATAATTTTAAATCTCGATCTAAATTACAATCCCAATCAAGTTTAACACGTATAACACCACCAGAACGTAACATTAAATCACGTTCAGTAATATTTTTTTCAGCTTCATTTATTATATGATCAATAGTAAATATTGGACAATCTTTATTAGTTTTTGGGTGAAAAATACATTGTTTTAAATTATCAACCATATTTTTATGTTTAACATGAAATATTGGAAATTCAATAAAATTTTTTATAAATATTGTAAAATTGAGAACTTCTCGAACAAGCATTGTCCATGAAAGGTCATCTTCTGATGGACACCAACCTATAAAAAATATCTTACTAGTAAAAAAACCTAATTAAGAAGCTTTTTAAAAAAATTTCAATTAATGATCTTTTAATCATTCAGTAGCTTTTGATAAATAAGCGTTTTCTATTTAAACTCATTTAATCGTTTAAAAAACACATTGTCTTCTTATTCAAGCACAAAAACTGTCCGATCTTGTATCACAATTATCGTTAGGTTTTAAATTTGAATAACAAACTTAATATTTATCAAATCTAACAATTGAAAGATGATGAGCTCCACTATTGACACAAAAACAAACAAAAAAAAGTTTTGGTTACGTAATATTGTAAAGAAGAGGAGCGTATAAGATGTTGATTTGATGCACAGAATACTTTCGACTACTTTGTTGGTGATTCTATGCAGAAAAATATAGCAATTATTGTAATAGATAAATTTACGAAAAATTATTAGAATTGGACCTTACTTTGAGGATAGAATATCCACTAATAGTCATTGAAACTCTCATATGACTCCTATTTACTTAGAATCAGCTCTAACCGCATAATTTTTTGACAACACTTCAAGCAAAAAATTTATGCAGTTAGAGCTAATTCTGAGCAAGTAGGAGTCCAATGAAAGTTTTAATGACTACTTCTGGATATTCTACATCCAAAGTAACGTCCAATCTTAATAATTTTGCGTAAATCTATCTATTAAAAGAATTGTTATATTTTCCTGCATCGAATCATCATCAAACTACTCGAAAGTATTCTGTGGATCAAATAAATATTTTATGGATACTTGTTCTTTGTCTAATGGTGTATAGTCTACCTTAAAAAGGAAAAGAGCTTCGTATTTTGAAACTCTAAAATTATAATACTTTTTATTCTTCAAACAAATGTTTCGTTTATCTGATAGTCATTCTTATTCATAAAATCGATAGGATTTCATAAACTTCGAATCATTTATCTGTCAAAATATGATCTCGATTGCTATATATCGCAAGGATATTCAGTAAATTAGTCATTTGAATTATTTATACTAATGTGTCAAACGTTCTGTAAGATCTTGTTTAAATGGTAAAAATACAAAACATAATAGTAAAACAATATCTCATTGGTTTATGTTTGTAAATATCAAACTGTTTCGTTAATATACAAAGAAATTCCTTGTTTATTTTTGCAATCTAAAAACAAAAATTCTACCTGCATATTCACATAAACCAGTTGGAGTTTTTGTATTATCTGTTGTCCCATTGACAATATTTGCTTCTGGTGATAATAAACATCGACCGGTCCAACGTCCATTCATATTTGGCGTAAACGGTTTATTAAAACAATCCTTATCATGCTTACATCTTGCTTCTTTAAGTTTTATATTTTCAACACATGTAGATCGTATTTGATCAGTTTGAATAAAATTTGTCATTATAAAAATAGCATTATTTTCTGATGGTGGAATAATATAATCTATTAAAACAAAAATAATTATTCGATTCTCAAGATGATTTTTTAGTTTTTTTCAATATACCTGCTCCATCAATAATTATCATTTTATTTTCTGATGTATAAGCATAACCTATACCTTTTACTTTAAGTGTTACTGATGACGCGACTGTTGTACTTAGTTTTTGGTAACCTTTTTCATATATAAGTAAATATATTACAGAATAAGCAAGAATAATAATTTGTATAATACGCAGTAAAATAGCATATTTTGCATTATGTATGACAACTAATTTTGGTGTTTCATATTCGGTGAAATAGCCCTTAATAATGTCTTTCACACTTTGTCCAACAAAAAAACGATCTTTGAAAGATATATATGAATCCATATCTTACAAAAAAATGTATTATATATTCTAGAATAGAATTAATAATAATATTTGATAATTATTAGGAGAAACAAAATTTGATACATTAAAAACATAGTTTATTTGTTACCTAATAATATCTTTGTTTCTTTTTTTCAATAATAATAACTTCATAGGATAAATATTTATATTTATTAAATAGGATAGAGAAAAATGCACTGATATTATTGGAAACACGTACTTCTTAAAATGCAGTAAGGGTTCAAGTGAAAGAGGCCGTATATATTATCTTCATAACATGAAATGCAAAAGTCTTTGAAAAAATGTTAAACTCTTTTAGACCATATTACCAACTTCTAAACTAATGAAATTTTTTTGGGTTGAAAAGAGTAAAGTCTGAACTAAAAATTTTGCATTAGACATAGTTTTCCAAAACAAATCTATGAAGGAGGAAACATCGAAAAAAGTTCTTGCAACTTCACCATCGCGCAGCATTATTTTCTGTTTTGCGTTGAACTTTTTATATCTGAAGTGAAATTAAAAAAGCACGTTTAATGCTGATTTGTGTAGCGAAAAGAGTACTCTTTTTAATGGCGTATTGGAAGTAAATTTACTTTTGGTTCTTATACCAAAATGTAACTTTTTCTAAAAGAAACTATAATTTAGTCGGTCTTATTATCTGATCGTTGTGCAACAATAAAATATATTTTTTAAATTGTTTTTTTTTTCTACTAAGTATCTACGATATGACACACTTCGAACAAATATCGCGCAAAGATTTCAGTTCATCCATGGTTTCTGAAGATTGTGACTAATGTCTTTCGAAACTGATCTTTCTTGCAAGAGATTCTATGTTACAAAAACTTAAATTCCCAATTTTTGTTTATTAAAGAGTAAAGAATGGAACCAAAAAATTTTACCAAAGCTAATAACGATAGAAATTTTGATAGGCTACATTTTAGTGTATTTTTTTTTGTTCATGTAACTCGAAATGATTCAGAAATAGAAATTTTTCAAATCGCAAAAACATTGCAAGAACTTTTTTGGTAGTGTTTGGTTTTTTAGCTTTTCCTCCTACTTCGATTCATTCTGGTAAAATATGTTTAGTACAAAAAATTTCTAGTTCAGACTTAACTCTTTCCAACAAAAAAGAAGAATTTCATTGGTTTGGAATTTGTCAATATGGTTTAACGGAGTTTCACGTTTTTTCAAAGACTTTTGCACCGGATGTTAATCTTGTATATCGCTAAAAAATATCTTACAGTCATGAGTTGCTTGCAGACGACATATGCTGTTGACAGCACCAAGCATCATATTCAACTCCAGTATTATTTGTTTGTTGAAATTCGGTCAGCTGTCTCCATGATCTGTTTTGGAATTATAGAATGGCAAGAATACCAATGCATTGCTTACAGTAACATTTTTTCACTAATTTCTTCTCGGAGAAAGAAAATAAGAATAATACATACAAAAGACTAAAACATTTCTTTATATCATATTCTAAGAGATTTTTTGGCGATAATACTATATCTATTGAAAAGCACTATAAACTATTGTTCTATGAAGCTAAATGTTGACATATAAAGACAAGTAAATTGAATAGTTCTATTATTGTATTTTGTCGAGTTGTGATCTACATAGCTAGATAAACAATCACTAAATTCAGATATGTTCATATCAAATATTCTTTGATAATATCTTCTTCAATTGTATTCTTATATTGAACTTCTATATCTATAATAACGAACTTGTTTCTTGATGTCTACTCTTTAATATCTATATATCAATATTGCATTCTTAAATATTAATCTTATTCTTCTATCCCCATACTCCTGTATTTATATTCTCATGTCTCTAGATCTATTCAGTATTCAACCTTGACAACTGCTTACATTAAGTTCTATCATTAGTTTTAATATCATCATATCTATACTTCTTTGTATACATTTTTATTCTTTTATTCAATATTTGATATGTATATAATTATATCCTTTGCTTTTAATTTTTAATCAGTCTTTGTATTCTTATGCATTTTGTAGTTATTTTCTCATATTTATATCTCAATACTTATTCATTACACTTATTTGTTTTATCAAATAACTTTATCTATTTCTATAAAATTATTTCGCACAGTTTCTATGTTTGTACTTTTCTTTATATCTCTGCAGATTTTTGACGATAAATAAATACAAAAACAAGTGTCATTGTCTTATTTATTTGATTAGTAATTTATTGTTTACATTGCAACGTTTATTTCTGACAATAAAATCTATTGATCAAGGACGTAAGTTGAAACACTCATCGAAAGATACAAGAAGTCTCGTTCGATGGTACATTAGAGAAACATGTGTCGTAAAGAAAGCAATTTTCACATGTAGGACCTAATGCTTCTCAAGCTCGTTAGCGCTTAAAGAACATCAACACAGTCAAAAACTAGGAATCTATCATTAGATTGCATGGAAAGCTCTCGGAATTATTCGAACTTTATAAGAAGAATTTTTTTTTGAATGCATCATTCATGAATAAATGTTTTTATTATTTAAATAAGTGTATGCGTGCAACAATGGAAATGTGTATAAAACGATAAAAACAAATTCTCTTCTTCTTTTCTATCGAAGAATTCGAACTGCTATTATATTTAATCTGACAATATATAAAAAAAGTGCATGTCTTCAAATCGTTTATTTTGATGATATCTTTTTTTAGTTGAGATATCGATAATTACATAATATCCTAAAAGTTATCATCACATTTCAAATGTGTATTACTCCATTACTGATTATTAAGGTTAATTAAAATTTTTTTGCTGCATTTATTTGTAAGAGAAAAGTTATGAATTTTTATTCTTAAAGACAAAGTTCACAAAAACTCTTGAATGCTTATCAGTTCTGATTACAACTTAAAAAATTTATTATTTTTTTTCAGCATTATACAAAAATATATCACATATTTTTTCTATATTTACTTTAATTTATATCATTACTATTGAGTTCAAGTCATTAACATGTCTCACTACTGTCTTATTAGCATTCATTCAACAGTTTTAGAAAAGACTGACAGACTAGTATATTCTCTGAAAGCGCTTTGTTCTTATCACAGAGAAAAATTTGATAAGTGGTAAAACAGATGTACTGTCACATTTTATGGTTCTTACTTTCATTAGATGTAGTGTCGATGTATTCCATTGGTAAAAAGATATCAAAATGAATCATAATCAACTAATAGTAAGACGTGTCAATGATTTACGCTTCATCATAAATATACATATATATATATTCAACTCGTCTCTTTCAGATAGCAAGAAAGAAAACATATTAGATTAAGTCTAATTAATAATTACGTTATATGCAGGTGAAATTCTATTATGATTTTCAGAAATATTCTGTACAGTATTAGCTCATAGTCATATAAAGAAAAGTATTTGTTTATTAGATTGTTGTTTATAGGGCGAAACATGAGTAAATATCTTGTTAAAGATAACAATCGTACATACATAAGGAAAAAGGAAAAATATTTCAAATATATCACGTACACTAGTTTTAGATAAAGAAGCTCTTTAGCTTTTTTCCGTTAAAGAAAAAGAAGAAAACATGGAAAAAAATTATCCGTAGTTATTAGTCTTTTCCTTGATTACATACAAACGCATATTGATGCGTATCTACGTTTCAATATATTCGACATATCGTGTAAATTACATGGCCAGTAACGAGTGACAGTTGTCTATTGCTATCGTCTGTTGTTATAAATATGCTTCTTTTAGCTTTCTAGAAGATCAGAAGAACTACTACTAAATAACTTGTCCACACTAATGAAACTTTTAAATAAAACTAAAATTTTATTTGATGATGCAAACGAATCAATCTGATTCTCTATAGAACTAAGTAATATATCTATCAAATCGAATAAAATATAGTCTTATTTAATATGATGAATAACAAGAACAGAATGTTTTCATCTTGGATACCAATGTTTATTTTTTCAACATTAATCTTTTTGTTTTCATTCTTATTTCTCTAGTGTAAAATTCTATATGGATACTGAATCATGTCATAGTAATTGTTGTCAATTACTTCATTGTCATTGTTCAAATCATACTATTTCAGGTGAAGTAACAATACGAGATATTCTACAAGTTTTGCAATAAGAACGAAAAAAACTAGTGGCGTAATCAGGATTCTTTAGGTGGATGGGCGTCGTTCTACAAATTTTTGATAACGTATTTACGTTCATGAAGATTATTTCTTTATAATCACATATATCAAACTTGTAAGTTAAATTTCAACTATTCAATTATCACTTCAAGTGTTCAATTACTCATCATACGCACACGGGACATTTCCTTGATACTTGACCTATTGATGCTATTATTTTATAGAAACTCATCATTAATAGACGCAGAATAATTTTTTTTTTGTCATTATTTTGGTCGAAAATGAATCGAAAAGCAGTTGAATATTGTGCGACGTTTTGTCTCTATATGTTTTGGCTTGATTTTATTGAAAAATATTTCGTTTTTGAATTCAGTTTCACAAAAGTTTGTTTACATTTCAGCCATAACATGCATGATTCAGAGTATAATTTACAAGTTGAACGACAATCTACAAGTTACTGCTAGTATAGTAGAGCTCATATTTTCCAAAAATAACCTAAAGAATGTTTATCCGACTGACTCATCAAGTACAGATCAAGATAGAGTGCAAAAGAAACGCGAATAATTGACGTAGGCTTTCCTCTTACTTTCGTAAAATAAAATTTCTTATTTTTATAGATTGTTGGATAGTTGGGAAAACAACTTCGATGGTTGGATGTCGCTAAACCAAGCCCTATTCTGGTTACGCCATTGCAATGAACTACCTGATAAGGAAACTTGTGATTTATTGAAGGGCATATCTGTTCAAAAAATATTATAATCCAGATGATTTGTTTATATATCTCACCAATAAAACATGTTTTTCTTTTCTTTTTTTTTTCATTTAAAATTTTTTAAGTTCTCCTATTAATGGTACTAATTTTCTTAAAAA